GGGTGGTAATCTCGCTCATGGGAACGCCTTGCTCCGAGGAAACGAACAGCTGTTGGAATGTATCGCCGTTGATATTAGAGTCACGACAGTTGTCCACTTGTGTCGTTAAATCTGTTTCGCTGAAGTCGGGTCCCACGTAGAGCTTGTCGTCGATATAGTGTCCCTCATGATTGCGAACACGGCCAATGTGATAGGGAATGTTCTGAACAGAAGCAGTGCAGCTACCGAGCTTGATAGTCAAACTCATCAGAAGCAGGTCCTCGTAGAACTCGATAGTGCTAACAGAGTCTGAACGTTCGCTACTCTCGTAGGTCCCCACAGGGTGGGTCCCATGTGCTGGAGTAGCAGGAGATCGAGTCGGGTAGGCCGGGGGTTGAGGGGGAGCACCAGTGAGACCAAAAACCCAGTCTTCACCACCAACCATAGAAGCCGTCACCTCATTCATCGAGCCGCCTTCCGAAGATGCACGGAGACGTCGGAATTGGACACTTCTCACAACCGTGTCATTACAGCTGTCAAGCTTCGTCGCGAAGTTCGTGGAGCTGTAGTCGGGGACGATCCAGAGTTGGCCATTAGAGCCAGGGATCGGAGTAACGTGATAGGGAACGTTATAGGCAGTCGCGACGCAGATATCCAGTCGGATAGAAATGGAAAGAGTTTGCTGCTGTTGATGGAATATCAGAGATCCGCCCGACTCATCACTCATGGAAGTATAAAAGCTTCCCACGGGGTGGCTTATTGGTGGCGCATACGTAGTGGTAGTTCGGACCGGCGGAGACCTCGTAGTTAGGCCTGGCACGGGACGAGTGGGACCAATGGCTAACCAGCAGTTCCACAAAGGCCCCCTTACACCGCCGTTGATAGTAATGTCGCTCATGAGAACACCCTTGTTGGATTTGACGTGTAGACTGTCGAAGCAGTCGGCATTAATAGAAGGATCTCGGCAAGCAGCGAGGCGTACCTTAAAATCAGTAGAGCTATAGTCAGGTTTGACCCAATACTCGTAGTTAGAACCGGGGATGGGAGTTATGGTATAGGGGACATCAGAGGCCGAAACACTGCAGGACCCGACCGTGGCACTGATGCG